CGGTGTCATGAGAGGCCGGGAGATGGGCTTCCAGTTGAGTGGGACACACTGCTGCCCTAAACAGAATCAGCTCCGCTCAGCACAGCGGGGAGGCGTGGGCGGTGGTGGACGCGGGCTGCCGGCCACAGCGGTCTTCCCGAGAAAGGCGCAGCCTGAGACCGCGCGTGGCGCGCGCCCGGGCCTGGTCGCAGCTCCTGAGCGCGCTCGCTGCTTGCCATGTTCTTCTTAATTCCTTGAGGTCATTCGCAGAGGCAGGTCTTGAAGCTCTATTCAGGAAACCACTTGGAAGCATCTAGCCTCCGCCTCACCATTGTCAGGTCTTCTGAAACTTACTTTATTCAGAGGCGAGATGTGGAGAGGGAACAGCCCCTGGCAAAGCTGTGGGGCTCGCGTGCTCGGCCTGTGTCGCGGGCGCTGAGACGCCGTGAGCCCGCCCAGAGCCGTTCACTCCCAGCAGCGGCTGGAGACCCGGCCTGAGTTTGATTCCCCCTCAGGTTCGCTGCTTGTTACTTGGAGACCAAGCCTTTGTTAAGGGTGACACCTGCGCCCTTCACACCCCCCGTCTCTCATGCACAGCTTTGATGCGCTCAGTTCACATTTTTAGACTGCAAAAGTCAGTTACTTGAGTGAACTTAATGCGTGTGTCCTAAAAAAAAACCTCTTGGAGAATTCACGTAATTTACTTAACTATTCAATCAAGTTGGTTCAAATTTCATTGAGTGCTCAAGTCCAGGAGCAGATCTGGCACGGCTCCTCCTCACCCGGTGCTTAGGTTCCGGGCGGTGGGTGGTGAGCTCGGCATTCGAGGCCATGGTCTCTGTGGTGCTGAGTCACAGAGCACGGAGGGAGTGAGCCGAACGTCTGCCCCACCTCGTGTCGGTCCAGGGACATCACTGAGGGGACATCTCTTGGCTTCCTTGTTTCCTTTACAACCCTGTCGTTGACGTTCGTCAAGGTCAGCGCAGCGCCTGTTCACCTCCCCAGCCTCCTGACCCTGAGACGAGGAGAAAATCCGAGCTGAGCGGCCATTTGCATCGCTCACCGCTGGTGTACATGCAGCCGAGTGCTGGGGTCTTTCCTGGCACAGGGCATCCACAGACCCTGCAGGCCTGGACAGGGCAGTGGCGAGAGAGGCTGCCTGTGACTTGTGGTCCTACTGTGAGACCCCACGGTCTGGCTGTTGACCTTGGGCTGGGCTGAGCAACGCCAGGCGGAAGATGAGAGGGGTGGCCAGGTTCCCGGGAGCTCGCTGCGGTGCCCAGAGCCCGTTGACTCCCTCCTGCAGCCCATCAGGGGCCCACAGGCCACGCTGGCTGTAGCAGCCTCCACCCATCCTTGCTCTGTGCAGACTCTGCTGGCCAGTCCACGGGCATGACCCTTGACCCCAGCCGGAGATGCTCCAGTGAGGCGGGCACCAGTTAGTAACCACCTCTTTCCTCAATAAAGTAGTCGTTTGACAGCCATCTTCCCCTTCACACTTGCAAGAGCGACAGCCTGAGCAGGACAGGGCATTTGGGGGTCATGCCTGGTGTGGACACACACCCCGCGTTGAGGGCCAGCCCCCCGTCTGCCTGTCCAGCCCAGCAGGGATGAAGGAGTGAATACTGACAGAGCGTGTGGCTGACTAGACATGGATTCCAGCCGTGCCAGAGGGCTGGGGCCAAGTTCTAGGTTTTCCAGAGACGCAAGGAATCTAGAATGTTTAGAGGAGACATCTCAACGCACAGATGTCAGCAGTGACTTCACATTGTGTCAGAATACGAGGCAGTCTGCCAGAACACATGGCAAACCTGATGCTGCTCTTAGGCACCCGTGTCCCACGTGTGGGTCCAGGAGGGGTTCCGGGCCTGGGACGGGGGACATCGCAGTTTCTCTGCGGAGACCGTCCCCAGCAGCAGTCAGCTCTGCCCAGAGGCTAGGGAAGGGGGCTGAAAGTGTCCTTCAGAGTTCACTGTAAACACATCACTCCCAGAAGTGAGAGCATTTTCATTAGAATGGGGAGGACAAAGCCAGACTCCACCCGGGTGGGAAGCGCTGGGGGGCCTAGAAGTGGAGGCCTGGACACAGACCCTTTGTGACCTTGGCTGGGAAGAGGGCAGGGACTAGTGGGGAAGAGCCCCCTTCGAGCGTGGCTCCTTGGGTTGCCGTGACAACTGCCCGCCCAGCCTGCAGGGCCCATAGTGGGGAGGTGGCCTGGATGTTCCCGGGAAGAGCCATGGGCCTTTGGGTCCAGTTCAGAAGAACACCTAGAAGACATAAACCCAAGCACCTGGACTCAGGCTGTCAGTGGTGATTGTCCTCGTTTGTGGTTAGATGCTATGGTTATCTTAAAAAACAACAAGCAAGAATATGAAAAATTTGAAAAAGAAGACAGTCAAGGGAGATGTGGCCCATAGAATAATGAAGTGAGATGTTGCAGTGGAAGTCCTTTAGAGCCTAATGACTGGTGGCTTAAACCAAGTGTGTGGTTAAAACGTGTACGGGCCTGAAGTATCTTCCAACTTGGAAGGTGCAGGTGTGCCCTCGGCCCGTTTGATGGGGGCCACAGCCCTGCCTTTGGCGGGTGTCCTCGCCGAGCCCAGCCAGCTGCTGTGGGTGAGCGGAACCCCGGGCTCGCAGCCTGTTACCTCAAGGCCCTCCCAGTTCGCTCTTCCTCCTCGGGTTCCGCAGCAGGGCTTTGTTTTCGTTTTTTTTAGGCAATTGGCATTTTATCCGATCTTTCCAAAGAATTCAGTTTCATTTTCACAGAAACTGTAAGTCTCTTCTCTCATTCAGATTTCATCTGTTTGCACAGATTTTAATTAAATACATAATTACAGTATGTTTAACTGGAGAAAGTTTAAGTGGAAAAACTGCTGGTGAAATCAGAAAGGCCCAGCCTTCTGAGGAGCTGCGTCACAGCCTGGTGTGTTGGTGCCTCCAGGTGCCTTCCCCAGCACAACCCCGGAAGTTCCTCAGAGAGAAAGGTTGGAGGGGCCCTGGAGATGGATTTAAACCAGGAAGGGCTGTCTTAGGAAAAGCTCAGAGGTGGGAAAAGCTGTTTGGAGAACAGATCACGTTAGAGCCTCACTTTCTATCCAGCAGCAGAAACACTTCCAGATGTGAGTGTTCTCGGAAAGCGAGGGTACTTCAGCAGATAAAGAATCATCTATTTTAAGCCAACAGACATACTTAGCTAATGGAAAAAATAAAATTGTTGAGAAAGCAGAAAAAATCTAACATACAAACAGCTTTTACAGTCAAATAGGAAAAAGAAGCTAATGGTCCAGTGGAAAAGTGAACTTTGTTATGAATAATTTACAAAGATAAAAATGGTCAATTTTTTTAAAGGTTTATCCTTGCTATGCACTCAGATGGCGTTGTATCTGATTACTTTAGAACGTTACCTCCAGAGAAAATAAAATCCAGTGTTTCACTTATGTCAGTGTGCAGAAAATGTATGAAGAATATGGGACTTTTTGGTACAGTGGAAAGGTGTTCAGGAGTGGGAGGAGGGCATAGCTCAGCGGCAGGGCGCTTAGCATGCACAGGGTCCTGGGTTCAATCCCCAGTACCACCTCAAAACTAAATAAACCTAATTACCCTCAGAGAAAAAAAAAGGAAAGAAAAGTTGCACTTGCAGGCACACAAGAACACTTTGAATTTAAGTCTTCAGATAAAATTTCTGGGCTGTGGAAAATTTATTCATGCGTACATGTTTGAATTTCTTAGTAATTGTAGGGATTATGTAAGAGAAATAGAGACCACGCCTCCAGGGATGTGCCATCTTCAGCTGTCATGTAAGCAGAGAAGGACAAGGTGGACAGGCGCTCCTGCCTTGCCAGTGGAAGCGTAGACTTGTGCACGGCGGCGGGCGGGCAAGCCGACGGTGCAGACTGGAAGCCAAAATGCGCAGAACTGCACTGACCCAGAACTTCTCCTTCAGTCTCCACACATAGGTGTAAAGACTGAGCTACAGGAGTGTTCCTTGTGAGTAAGACTTTTACTGCTCGCCAAGGACTGAGATGCCCTCTGTCCTTCGGGGGGGACCGAGGGAGTGAGTGTCCGCGCCTGTGAGCTCAGGCAGAGTGGGCTGCCGGGGTCAGAGAGGGAGCCCCTCGTCGGGGAGGGCGAGGGCAGAAGGGGAAGGGTAGGTTTGGGGTGAGGCCATTGGGGTCCCTTCAGAAGGGGGGTCGGGTGAGAGGCCGGTGCCGGCGGTGTGCTCCGAAGAGGACCCAGGAGAACAAGGTGCAGGGCGGGGGAGCCATCGCTCCCTGCCCGCTTGTACTGCTTAGAGCCTCCCCAGAAAAGGCAGAGATGCAAGCTGCTCACTCGGCAGCGCGGCTGAGTTAACCCCACGTGGGTCTGCGGTTTTAACGACCGG